AGGTTTTGTGGTTTGAATTAGCATTCAGTTTTAGTTTTACTTTCCAATTGAAATAATGTAGTTTGTTATATAATAAAATTTAAGTCCTTTGAAATTATTTTGGCATATACTCATATTTAATTCGTTTTTCATACGAGTGTCGGTGGGTTAATTTTGCTTTTACAAATTTTGTTGAATTATCAACTTCCAACGCCCAATTGAAAGTACAAACACAAAAGCAATTGTCCTAGTATCTCGGATAAAATAAAAAATTAAATCATACAATGTCAAGAATACAGGAGGTCCTGCCCTCACCAGCTATGAAAAATTACAATAATAAAATTTCATTGTTCATGACGTGACGCTCGTGCCGAGCGTTCAGTTTAATTGAATTTTTTAAGGTAACAAAGGTGATCCTTCGCTCCAATTCTTGGATCTGTCTACGGGTCTTCAACAGTCATCAATCAGTTCTGTAACTATATTTTTTGTAGAAGTTAGTATGATTAACAAGCATAGATGCGTTAACATCCATGAGGGCCTTAGATGGAATTCATCGTTACTAGTCAAAAGTGTCATTTACCATACGAAACACAGCATTATGCTGCTATTTTACGCTATTATCTGCGCGCGTGATCCTTCCACTGTCGAGCCGAACTATTCGTTCAGTAGCTATAATACCTACGCTGAAGCGTGATTCTATCACGATCGTAATCTAATTACTACTCAGGATTTATTTTTGTGCCACAACCCACAAGTGTAGCGACGCCGGGGACCTCACTTCCAGCTTGGGTGTCAACTACTGTATAAAATAATATTAAAATGTTAGTTCTAATACTTTAATTTAATGAGTTCTAATACTTTAATTTAATGAGTTCTAATACTTTAATTCATCTAAAAATATATAGATATCGAACCTAATACATTTTAGTAAAATAATATTAGTTCTTTGTAATATTGTTCTTTTACGCCGCCGACACAGATATAATAATTAGCAGCCACATAAGTGTATTTTTCAATGACCCAATAATTTGGGTCGGCTTATATTTCCTGGAATGTAGGATTACCTACGATTTATGTTTCGGCACGAATTTTGGCTCGTATTCGAATCTAGGACTAATAGGCAAATACTATACATGCAAGAACATGTCATTACATTTTTATTATTATATACCTACTATCGTAATTGTGCCTTTTATTTGACTTAAATTTAAGACTTAAATTATTAACTGAAAAAATTGTTCGAGGATGTAGATCGTTGCGGCCTTATTGAATGAGTTGCTAACAAACCAATTGTCGTTGTCATTGTTAAGCTGTAATTGGTCACTTTTCCCATTCCTGTAGGTCGAGAGTATTTCAGTGTTTTGCTCTTAGAATTTTTATGACATAAAAAAATTATACAACATGTAACAGAAAACCCGTGGTTTCCGTTATCAAAATCTGTATTCAACTTATATAAATGAAATAACTTTATTTAAAAAACTCAACCAAGAAAAAAAGTATTTTCAATATTTGCAAATTGTACCTATGTGGTTTTACTACTTCAAGCATTGGCCACGAATTGAAAGTATTGTCAAAGACATTGCTTTACTGAAGCGCGTGTTAGTTGGAGGTGATAAAACCACATACAATGTGTTAACAAAAAGTAATATTTTTTATTTCTTATTTAAGTCAATGTTCATTATTTTTATTTAAATAACATAATATAAAATATTTTATTATATACAAAATTAAAAACTATAATAATAAAAAAAAACTAAAACTAGTAATTTAATTATAAAACAGTTATATACCCCGCGGTATCGTGCCAAGAACGAAACTAAAAATAAAATAAAACATAAACACATTATAAATTAAATTCATTTATAATGTATTTTATCCCATGAATACCTTTCATCTGACGATAGCAAAATCAGCGATCAATATAACGACGCAAGTGACCTTTAACTTTATATTTTCCATCAATGAAATAAAGTATTAATCCCCATTGAATTAATAACGTATGTATATTGAACTTGTTCATTGGCCTTGCCTTTCAAAGGTCATGGCAGGAGGAGCCTTCCCTCGACGCCCGGATTATCCCACCGGATTCAATTTCGTACAGACCGAAGTCAGAAGCGAAAGCGGTGAGTTTAAAATTGTTTATCATAGCGCCTAAATCAATAGAAAACGTGTAAAGATTCTGACTGGTTTTAAAAATATACTCTGTGGATTTTAAAAAGTAGGCCTTAAAATACCGATACAATGGTGGTTAAGTTACCAATACCAAATGTTATTGATAAATTTAACGAAAATAGCTAAAGTTACGAAGTCGTTGCGAATTGATTTTTTTGCATGCAAAAAGACGTACTTTAAAATTATAACGACGACAGACACGTATTGAAAAAAGGTGTTTTTTAAAAAAATAGAATAACGGTTTTATCACTGTTTGTACAGGCCAAAGTATCCACTACTGTGACCTATAGAAATCTACATCTATCCCTGGTTAAGAATCAAAATGCAGATGCGTTGTCACCTCTGAGAACTAATATGGAATGCCTCATTTCCAGTAAAAAGGTTCTCTGGTTCCCTATACTCACCATACAAAACACAGCAGCATTAAGCTGCAACCCATTCGTGCTACAACCACAATATAGATGTAGCATGTTACTTTTAAAATTGCACCTTATAATTTTATTGCTTGACTTGGCGGTGTCGTGCTCTGTGGTTTCTTCATCAACAATCTATTTTACTCGATTGTCATGTGTTTATTATCTTTACGGTAACAACATATATAATAGCAATAGTTCTTACCACCGTTATAAAGTTATGTATATGAAAATAACATTAATTAATGTAATTTTCATAGGATTTCATAATGTTATCAAGCCCTTCTAGGAAGTCTTTAAGTCCACATATAAGCCGTTGAGACCATACAGGGACTAAGCACTCGACGTAAATTTCGTAGGTTGGGTCCGCGACCAAACTGAATTCGATCCCAGCACCGCAATGTGCTAGTTTATATGATATTTTATATGAAATATAAATGATACATAAAATTATATTTTAAGTGCTAGTTTACCACTGGTTCGGCTGTGAGACACAATATCGCTAGAAAAAGCATGTCTGAGACATTAAAATTATTGGATAACATGTCAAGTCCGACAACAACCACTGGAACAGCGCGGCATGCTAGCTATTCGATAACGCCGTGCTATGCTCTGAGATTTATGAAGATTGTAACTTTACTTTTTATTTTAATATCGTGTATGCAAGTATGTCTTTTTATAACAAAATGTGTTTTTTCTTGTTAATTATTGCCGATTTCAATTGTAGTGACAATACCTCCTTACCAGCGTACGCATGTTGTAGCAGTCTAGTATTATCAATTGATTACTATTGATTATGTCCTAGTAGCTCAAGAAATAAGTGCTCGCTTCAAAAGTTTACAATATACAAATGACTATGCCAGCATCACTTAAATTAATGGGAAACGAAATAATTGCGAAGAAATTTCTAAAAAAGAAAAATGAAAAGAAAGCACGAAAAATAATATGAAAGGCAATGTTTCCGATTTTCAAAATTCTGTAAGGTCATTAAACCACCTACATATTTAGACACAAATGCAACTTCCACAACAATGCGTAAATGGATTTTGCAAAGCATTCTTGAAAGCAGCTTGAAAGGCATAAAAATGAACAGTGTTTTCATTTCCTACATTACTTACTATTTGAACCACAATATTATGTTGATGTCCTTACTGAAAGTTTCAATGTCAAGAGACTGTATGGTCATGAGACATGTCGTTATACAGAAAATATATTATAATTCGCAGTAAAATACGTACGGTATAATCTTTTTTAAATTGTTTAAAATAGGTATTACAAAAGAAATAGTTTAAGGGAATTTTTATTTATAGGATTTTAAATGTCGTCTAAAGTACGGTAGTAAGATTTACGTAGTAGAGCCATGCTTTACGTGGTAGAGCCATTCTTTACGTGTTAGAGCCATGCTGCAGCTATATTAGTAGTATAGTTGTAGCACGAATGGGTCGGCTCGACCGGGGAAGGACCACGCTCTCACAGAATACCAGCGTGAAATAGCAGCTTAATGCTGCTGTGTTTCGTATGGTGAGTGTAGAGAACCGGAGACCCTTTTTACTAGAAATGAGGCATTCCATTTTAGTCCTCACGGGTGACAACGCATCTGCATTTTGATTTGTAATAGAGGATAGATGTAGACGTCTATGGGCTGCAGCAACCGCTTACCATCAGGTGGACTGTGTGCTCGCTTGTCACCCCTATCCTATAAAAAAAGTGACGCAAAATGTTGTAGTTAAATCTCCTCTTTTTAGCAGCCCATTAATTCCCACAGTTGGTCAAAGGCGTCTCCCCTTGTGGGGAGGGATTTTGTATTACTAAGATTTATCATTAAATATAATATTTACCTAATTAAAGCTTAAATAAAGCCTTCATAATATTTGTATAAATCTCAAAACAACGTTCAGAACCTATGTTATATCATCGTATCCGTTTAAAGACTTAAATAAAAAAAAATATCTCAGTAATGCAATGCATATTCTTGCAGACAGCACTGATACTCGTGTACAGTTAAACTTGTATTAAAATCGTGTGTAATGTATATCCGTAGACTGATATTCATGCAATTTGTTCTGAAGGACGTTAGAGCGGGGGTGACGTCTTTGGTCTACGCAAAGTATTTGCCCTAACCTCACAGTTTTCAGCATTTCAGTTTGCACCGCGGCACTGGCCAGATATCTAAAAGAAATCTATGTTTGATTAACTAAGCAATCAAATACGTTGTCTGTTCAATTTTGAATATAATTTTTTTTTAAATATTTACGAGTTTACAAGGTGTGTTAATTTTATTTATTAAAAACAAAGCATTATAGCACAGTTTTATCGGTGGGTTGTAGGTTATCAAATGTGTTAAATTTTAACTTTTCGCTTTAAAGTGCAAAAAAGAAAAAATAATTTATTTTTTAATATTGTGCAACTTATTAAACGGTTCGTCCTATTTAAGAGATGGCGGAGTGCGGTGAGAAGTTATATCCAAAGTGTAACAATAGCGTGTGGTTGAGGTCATGCGATGAAGAGGTAACGCAGCCTATTTCTGGCACGGTTACAGGTGGGATATTACGTATTGATTCTTCTTCTCCTTCTTCATAACCTGTAATGGTTCACTGCTGGACATATACCTTTCACCTTCATTACCTGTCGTGGGGAAGGTATTAATCGTTACGCTGGGCAGGTGCATTGACGACCAGACGTCTCACACCTTCAATGCTCATGCCCATCGCCAGGCTGGGTATTTTTACAAATGGCGTAAACGAGATGGTATATTGGTAACTTTCGGTATCTTAAAGATTTATCAAACGACGCCATAAATGCGACATTTATGGCTTCGTGACGTCACTCACGAGACAAAACGGGGTGATGGATTTTTTTACACCGCTGCCACACGGTAAATTTTAGTATGTGTTAATTATAACTATGTTATATAGACTAAATACAGAATAAGACCGATACTCTTACCGTTGCAGTCTATATAGTAATACTACTACATAGTCAAATGCTGAAAATAGGCTCCCCCCTAGACTACACCATAGGTAGGATAATTGCCAACGTTACTACGCTTGGCAACCGCAGTTTTCAACCGACTTCAAAAAGGATGAGGTACTCAATTCGACTGTATGTTTTTTATATGTGTTAACTCATAACCTTTTTCTCGGTGAACCGATTTCGATGATTCTTTTTTTATTTGAAAGCTGGTGCTCTCATGTGGTCTCGTATAAATTTGATCAAAGTCGGACCAGTAGTTTTTGAGTTATCCTTAATAATTTATATTGAAGTGCGTTGTAAACAATTTTTAATTTTAGCACTTGTTTTATTTTTAGTTATTATTACTCATTTGGGTTGAGCGCTGGCTTGATACAGGCATTAAGGTCTCTTTATAGGAACTCTAGTGCTTGTGTCAGGATCAACGGGGTCTACTCGGACTGGTTTGGCATTCATAAAGGTGTCAGACAGGGATGTGTGGCTTCCCCGTGGCTGTTTAACCTATTTATGGACAGTTGTTTGCAAACTTTGAAAGTTGAAGAATGTGGGTTGAGAATGGGTGAGTCAACCGTCATATGCCTTTTGTACGCCGATGATCAAGTAATTTTTGCATCGTCGGCGGCCGAATTGCAAATGATGGTTACTTTAATGAATTGGTCATTGAAAGAAAGGGGTATGAAAGTGAACGCAAGTAAGACGGAAGTGATGGTTTTTGAAAGAGAAGAAAGTAAAACTTTATGTGAAATAAGAATAGAAGGGGAGTTGATTGAGCAAGTGGATGAGTTTGTATATTTGGGATGTTTATTTAGCAGGGATGGTAGATATGATAAGGATATAGAACGACGAGTGAACGCAGGAAATAGAGTGAATGGGGCTCTACACGCTATTATGAGGAGTCAAAATGTGTCAACTAAGGCACGTATGGCAATTCATAATGCTGTGTTAGTCCCTACTTTAATGTATGGTAGTGAAAGTTGGGTCTGGCAGAAGAAGCATGAGAGTAGAATAAATGCTGTAGAAATGCGTTCCTTAAGGAGTATGCTAGGGCTGAATCTGAATGACAGGGTGAAAATAGTGTGATAAGAGAAAATTGTGGTTTGCAAGATGACGTTGTGACAAGGATCAAGAAAGGAATGCTTCGGTGGTTTGGTCATGTAGAAAGAATGAACGAGGAAAGAGTGACTAAGCAAATTTATGTTGCAGAAGTGAACGGCAGGGTCGGGAAGGGACGCCCTAGACGAAGGTTTATCGACCAAATCGGCGATACATTAAAAATGGACCAGATTAGGAGTACCCTTAACCGACGAGCGTGTATGCGTAGATATATGGATGTAAAAGAGGCGAGAGAGGTCTGTCAGGATCGCGCCAAATGGAAGTCCGTAGTCTCTGCCTACCCCTCTGGGTGACAGGCGTGAGTGTTTATGTTTTATATGTTTTTATTATTAGGAAGCAGTTGCTGCCCATCTCTTGATTTGTTTCCTTCTGTTGTCTCCTTCAACACTCACGGGATAATATGGGGTAGTGGATATTCCTACACCGCCACTAACGGTTAAGAGAATACGACACAATTTTAAATTTTATACGTGGTAGAGCCATGCCGCAGCTGTATTAATTGTATGGTTGTAGCATGAATGGGTCGGCTCGACTGGGGGAGGCCCACGCTCTCACATAATAATAGCGTAAAATGGCAACTTGACACTGCTGTGTTTCGTATGGTAAGTGTAGAGAACCGGAGACCCATTTTACTGGAAAAGAGGCATTTCATCTTAGTACTCACGGGTGACCTCGCATCTGCATTTTGATTCTTTATTGAGGATAAATGTAGATGTCTATGGGCCACAGCAACCACTTACCATCAGGCGGAATGTGTGGTCGTTTGTCACCCTATCCTATAAAAAAAAATAAAAAAACAAGAATATATTACATGCGTTACAATGTCTTACATATTTTTACTCTTTATTCCGAGTATGGCGTTAATTCCCGAATAGTCTTATATACATTTTGAAAGACACCATGTACTATATAGCATATAGTGTCTGTGTTGTTAGTGTCCTATTGTACCTATATTCAGTTTACTCAATGTCTCTTATGCTAAAAGATAGTAGGTATAGATAGTAGGTAGGTAGGATAAAAGGTAGTTTAGGATTCAGTTTCAGATATACACTGATAATCGCTATATATTCATCATCATCATCATCATTAATTATAGCCTATAACAAGTCCATCGTGTAGTGGTGGTGTAAGAATATCCACTACATCATATCATCCCGTGGGTGTCGTAAGAGGCGACAGAGAGGAACAAATCAGGAGATGGCCAACAACGTTTTCCTAATAACTACTAAATAAAAAACTGCGGCTGCCAACTCCGTTTGAAAAGTGTGACAACTATGGCAAATATCTTCCTATGCGGCAATCTATATGGGAGGCATATGTTCAGCAGTGCACTTTAATTGACTGTAACGGTAATAAGTCCACTTTGGAACACAGGCCCCTCTCATAGGTTACCGCATTTTCTATAGTTGCCGCGCTTGGCTGGTGAGTTAGCAACCGTCGTTTTTATTATTATGATTGAGTCGTTATCAGGAAAATGTCCCCAGAGGACGGGCAGCAACATTTTCGTTTCGTTTCCGTTGCCTCTAATGATACCCACGGAATGATATGTGGTAACTGATTTGCATACGCTGCGACAACACAGCTTCACAACAATCACACATCATAATACAGCTAGACCAGATAAATAATGTATTTTTAATAATAATATATAATTTATTTAGTTCCAAACATAAACTCAAATTACCATAACAAAATAAAAATAATAATAAATGGAATGGAACTAATAAGGCGTCTACTCAGCACATATGTCATAGAAACCACATAGTGGTAACAACAACGCTGATTTTCAATAAACGCCAGAGACATAACTGGAATAAAATTAAAATAACTAATCACAGGCTCCAACATAAAATAAAAACACATTTATAAAAAATTTAAAATAAAAATTAAAACTGTTAACATTTAGGGAAAAGGCACAATAAAAAGCCAACGCAACAAAAAGCGTAACAAAAGGCATATGCCAGGCACAAGGCACACAATTATATTATTTAATAAGATACATTACATATTATTTAATAAAATAAATGTAGAATAGCAAGTATTTCTTAGTTTTACAATATTATACAGCCACAGTATACTTCATAAGAAAGGTGTGATATATCGATACAGAATTCTACAACTGCAAATTTAAAAGATATTTTTTTAGTTTTATTTTAAAAACGTGAACTGTTTTGCGGTTTTTGACCGGAGGTGCTATATTATTCCCACACTGCTAACTTTGTGGTATGTTACCACAAAGGTAGCATACCACAAAGTGTCGGAATAATATATTTATATTTACATAAAAGTTCTCTTTCAGGTTGGGATTTCATTCATGTGTCTGTTGCATCTGTTACTCTATTATCACAAGATATATTTAAGATTGGAATGAAACGAATTTTACGGACGGGAAGGGGACTGCATGGGCCATGCGTTCTGAAAAGTGCCCGAAACCTCGGGAATGAAAAAAGTTAAAATTAAACGCCATAAAATCCATAAAATTTGTTTTATTCCGTGTATTGTATTGGCGTAGATGTAAGAAATAATTATAGATTTAACATTTCCAATCACTTCTACTATTAATCTTATTATTTTTCTTCACCAGCTCGTAAAAATCCACTGCTGGATATGTACCTCTCCTATTGAAGGGGGTTTGCCCGAATCATCACGCTTAGTAGATGGATTTTCGATTGTAGATTCAAACGTCTTCCGTCTTCGACACTGTTACATGTCGCCAGTTTGGGTATTTTAACGGTTAGTGTAATCTAAGATGATCATACTGTCATATTCCGTACCCGCTTCTGAGACAATGACGGGACAAATGAGGTGATTCTCTTTCGTCGCGAATAAAGTTAATTCTATCAATCCATTGGTAAATAATAGTTTACTGCCAAAAGAACTGAAGAAAATTAACAAACATAATATAATATAAAAACATTAAACCCAAAGTCAATATTGAGTTTTTGGTATTATTAAACAATCACTTTGAACACTGTTAATCAATTTAATTTTCTACTTCTCTTCTATATTTTTTACGGGTAACAAACGAACATACAATCCACTGTTGGTAAATTGATAATGTGGCCCATAGACATTCTCCAGTAAGAATCAAAATCCAGATGCGTTGAGGACTTAGATGGAACGCTTCGTTTCCAGTTAAAAGGGTCTCCGGATCTCTATACTTACTATACGAAACACAGCAGCATTAAGCTGCTATTTTACGTTGGTATGCTGTAAGAGCGTGGTGTTACCCCGGTCGAGTCAACCTATTCGTGCTACAGCCTTAATATAGCTGCAGCGTGACTCTACTACGTATACATTTTATCTTGTATAGATAAGGTAAAGCGCAATAAAGAAACTACGGTAGGTGATTTTTATATGTGGTGTTTTTATGTACCTAAAATTTTATTTTCTGCATTAAAAATGTATGAGTGTAAGTTGAATTATGCATTTGGCATGACTATTGTGTATTGTCTATAATACATCGCATGCCATAAAATCCCGTCGATCTTTCCTGAGTTGTTACGACCCAAGAGATGTGATGAGGAATGTTGGTTTCACTTATGTTAATGCTTTTCTGTTTGACACGGATTTTTTTCAAATTTATAGATTTATTTCGAAGTTTCCCAAGGGTTATGGTGACTATAGTACCAGATTACTTGCATCTTGAAATATACGGGTAATTTTAATGGCGGTAATCTTGTCATACACGTTTTTCTACGTCTACAGAAGTTTATCGATTTTGGCGCCAACCTCGAAGAGTTATATTATGCGTTACTGAGATGTTCCTATTTATTTATATACTTGCAAATTTTATTACTCTTAATTTACGTTGTCGGGGTTAAATCGATCCGATAAATAGATAGAACGGAAGAAAAAGTTTTAACGTTTGCTGTCAAGTAAGGGAACACAGTAAGGGAATAACACGGGGACATTTACCATCGGGTAGATTTGACGTTGCTCGTTTCTTACATAAACATTAGAATAAAAAACGTGTGTGTGTACATATATACGAACGTAGGAAGCTATACTTCTTTAGCGTAACAAAACAATAATAACTAAAAATAACCACCTAAAATATAGTTTTCAGTTCCTACGTAAACTTAAGAGACAGTTACCCAATGAAGTTGTCTCTTTGAGGTGTCAGTGCGCGCGCGCATCGTAACAACTTCATGGTGTCGTTTTTAGATGTCGGTGTGCGCGCGCATCGTAAAAAATTCACTCTCATAATTTCTCCCAAACGTCCCAAAAGAAGTATATCTTCAAAAAGTTAAACTAATGTTGAGAGACATGTTAGCCTATAACGGTTCTAATATTACGCGTATATTGTACCCATCACCAGTTCGACGCTACTCTGAGTACTTTATTCTGGTCTATAAAAAGAGTTTTCTTGACAATTATAGGAAGCCATGACATATTTATTGTATTTCTTAAATTTGAGATTATTAGATTGGAGAATGTATGATAGCTATAGAATAATTAGTACCTGGGTGTCTGTCAAGGAAGGCTCTTATTGTTTAGGAGTCCTATATAAGTAAACTTCAGTTATGTCGCAAAATTAATGCAACCTCACATTATCATCATCATCATTACAGCACTTCACAAGTCCATTGCTGAACATAGACCTCCCCCAAGGAATGCCACAAAGCACGTTCTTGAGCCAACTGCATCCATCGACTTCCTGCATGTCTCGTCACTCCATCTAGTGGGGGGACGTCCTACATTTATTATACAAATTACGATAAAAAAACCCCCTCGCCAAGCGTGGCAACTATGGCAATATAGCCCCCATGACAAAAGTTACAATCCCTCACAAATTACTTAAAAATATTTTCCGCAGGTAATTTTCCTTCTTGGCTACGAGGAAGTTTATTACGAAATGGACCGGGATCGCTGAAAGTTGGTTCAATGCGATTCGAACATTTGTTTGATAGTTCAGCGCTTGTACACAGGTAAGTTTATACTTGATTAACTTACAGAAGTAATTTAAGAGTTGGTGTGATTGCATGCGTCAAATGGTGGCAAATCTTCTAGATGTTTTCAAAAGAACTATTTAAAATTTAATTGAATAAAATTTTAATCTTTAGATTTTACGCACTAGCCTATGCGATCAAAAATGAGTACAACATTTTTGGAATCAAAATAGAAAATACTGGCTGGTAAAGATAGTTAAAACTAAAAAAAAGATAGTTAAACTTAATGTAAGATACATAAAGCAAATAAACTGATACTTTTGATCATCTTATAGCGAGTTGTGGAAGATAAATAAAATACATAACTACACGTTGTTATTAAGTATCTGCTTTAAAAGAAGGGGACAAACGAGCACCCAGTTCATCGATAAGTGAATACTGTGTCCCATAGACACCTACATTTATCATCTTTTAAGAATTAAAATGCGGATGCGTTGTCACCCCTTGGCACTATGATGTAATGCCCCGTCACCAGTAAAAAACATCTCCAGTTCTCGTTACTCATCCATCATACGAAACACTGGTGACTAGTAAACGTGGACTTACCCTTGAGGAGTCTGTAGCAATAAAACAGCCTCAGCTGGCACTACTACGTATAAAATAATAAATGAAAATCTCAATCATGGAGCTGCTGTTACGGGCACTTTGTATGTAGGAAAAATAAAAAAAGTGCAACAAAATCCGTGATAAACTGCAAAACAAACTCCTAAAGGTGTCTGGTTCCTGGTTCATTTTACCAAGATAACGCACCGGCTCACAAGTCCACCGTAGCGATGCCTGCAATTCAAGATGACCTTACTCGGTATTTTTTATCTATTTCAGAGATTGTTTTGATTGATTGATATATTTGAGAAGAGAGAGAGAGAGAGATTTAAAGATGATGAACTGACTTTTTATTGATTAAATAATGATGATATACATAACATGTTGTATTATTGCAAATAAACTCTATTAAAAACATTAAATTAAAAAATCTTGTTAAATATATGTGGTTAAAAAGCATACTTTAATATAGATTTACATATGAATGACAATAATGTCTTTGCACACACCGTTTGTCTGCACTTGTTAACAAAAATATTTGCCGATGTTTTGTGAATGTCTTGTTTTTGCAAACCTTATAAATAAGAGTTTAAACAAGTTTGAATTAAATTAAAAATATTGTCTTTGAAGAAATGTTTTCTTGCTTCAACTCAAAATCATCAAACGTAATCTCGGAAGACGTTTTTACTATATAGAAAATTACAGTAACTGCATAGATTATTGACATTTGTGCTGGCTCATTCTTATGCATTCGCCGTAAATTCCGCAGTACGGGAGCAACTTGGGTTCGATTCCCGCTACTGCCAATTAAATAGTTGATTACAATTGTAAATGCAACGTGCTTGATGGTAAAGGAAATTATTGTGAGGAAACCTGCATGTCTGAAAATTAATAAAATATTTACAATACATGTAAAGTCCGCAAACATTCATTAGGGAAGTGCGGCGGTCATTTCCTTGCCCTTAAACCGTCTTTAACGATTATGTGATGTAATTTTACTTTACTGAAGTAAATACTCGATATCGTGATTCAACAATTACTTTCGTTGTTTCGTCAGTTGCGAACATTGTAAAAGATTTAAAAAAAACGTACATAAAACGCTTAAGGGATAAGTGAATTTGTATTTAGTGTTTGATCGTTTGAAGTAAAATATTTCATGTGTTTCATGTGAAGTAAGTTATTTCGAAGGTAGTGTGTTACATGTGGTAGAGCCACGCTGCGCTATATTAGTTGTAACACGAAAGGGTCGACTCGACCGAGGAAAGAACGCACTCTGAAAGAATACCAACGTAAAATAGCAGCTTAACGTTTCTGTGTTTCGTAAGGTAAGTGTAGAGAACCGGAGACCCTTTTTACTGGAAACGAAGTATTCCATCTAAATTCGCAGGAGTGACAACGTATCTGAATTTTTATTCTTAATCGAGGATAGATGTATATGTCCATGGACATCTACATCACATCCACTTGCCATCATGTGAACTGTACGCTCTATCACCTTTATTCTATAAAAAATACGCCCTTCTACATTCACTGAAGCAGTACGGTAGACTTACTATTTAGCAGTGTAGCGTGTATCGGCTATAATTTTACTAAATTTTGTAATATAAACAACTTAAAATACGTTAAATCCACTATAACGTATTAAAAGATATTTCTCCCCTAGCTCCTTTACAGACTTAAAAAAAAATCTATTTCATTTATTTACATCCTTTAAAATTCGACTAATGAAAACAGGCCGCCCCAAAGATTGCCTCATAACGCACATGTTTTATAATTTTGAACTGTTATCCGAAAGATTCTGTTGCCCATGTCCTGTTTCAGTTTGGAGTAGTGAATGTTCTAACACCACCACTACACGGCCAACACAAGCCTCAAGCTCTTTACGGATGTTATATATGTTTGTATGATATTATTTGGCAGACGGTAATCTTGGATTTAAACTGAACTTAGGGAATATTATCTTATTCTTCCATTAGCGAATATTTTACGCGTTTTAACTCAAATTTAACTCAATACAACGTTTAAACTCATCACACTTTCGTTAGATATAATTGAGGTCGTGACTGCTTGTTGTCTATTTCTTTCCGAAATTGTCCCCTGGAATTAATATATCATTTTATGTGATATTACCCTGTGGAAGTCATATTCTAACCTAACGGTATAGGAAGGGTGTTGTCAAATATATGAATCTTAAAGATATTAAAATATTTGTTTAACGTGGTAGGGCCATGCTGCAGCTATATTATGGTTGTAGCACGAATGGATCAGCTCGACCGAGGAAGGAACACGCTATCACAGAATATCACCGTGAAATAGCAGTGAATGCTGTTGTGTTTTGTATGATGATATGGTGACTGTAGTGAATCGGGAACACTGTTTACTTCGGAATCGGAAACGAGGCATTCTATCTTGGTCCTCGGAGGTGAGACAACGTATCTACATTTGGATTACTAATCGAGTATAGATGAATGATGATCGAATTCAATGTCATGTTGTCCACGTGCTAAATTTCAGTCGGGCGGCTTCCTCTGAGTCGCTGCGTCTCATGCATAAATTATTCACGTACGTATAAGTGTAATCCCAAGGCGGGCAGATGGCGGTAATTGAATAGGGACAAGGCCAGAACGCAGTGGAATGTGCACGTTGTATCGACGTATAATTTAATAAGAAACATGTTATCTAACTGAGAAATTCCTGTTCATTACGTGTTTGTAACGACAACACTTTTTAATGCAAGTGTGAAATGATTTATATCCATGTGCACTATTTTTGAATTAATTAATGGTGGCTTTCAGATATGTTAGTAAAACGTAGTGATTATATACTATTTGTCTATTTGTGTTATGAATATTTTAACTTAAAGTATGATTACTATTTTCTGCGGAGTTGATACGGTTTTTTTTAAAACCCTTCAGCAGTTTTTATATTGAATATCTGTCGACAATAAGGTGAAAAACTTACAATTTAAATGTTTGATGAAGAGTGATGAGTCAACATCAAGGAGCCGCTATTGTGAAATTGACGAGTGCACGGCGCATCATACCTAGAGGAGCCCGGCTAGCAAGTTGTATAAAAACTTCGTCGCAGTAGTAAGAGAAGACCTCTCACCGTTCGTAGTAAAGGACATGGTTGAGAGCGACAAATTGTGTTGCTTCTTACGTGCAAGTAATATCGCAGTATGGGGCTGCGAGTAAGAGAGAGATAGTGAACAGCACAGTATACCAATTTATAGCCAGAGAGTTGAGCGCCAGAGGAGAGCATATAAAGCACTTCTCCTCCTCCTAATTGGGGTCTGGGCGCCTGATATCGGGTGATCTGTTGCCGCATATGTAAGGCTTCGAGGTTACGCACGTAGTGTCCTCACGTGCCCCCTTAAGAAGAATGGGTGGCGTGCACCAGCTTCACTGTCTAAAGGAGAAGGAGCCTTAACAGGCAACCTTCATAGAATGCAAAAGCCTTGTCGTAGCCCCGACAAAGTACGAGTTGACAAAATCGTGATTCGAAAAAAAGGTTTTAGTGGTTAAGAGTTCAGCATAACTTGTCTGTCTTCTCAGTGACCGAAAGGTATGAGAATTTACCCTAGATCTAGTTTCAATTATAACCGAAGATATCGTTGGTGCAATTTTTTTTTGTGTTCGATGCGTTTTTTGTACTATCGTATATATTTCACACAGAATTTAGATCTTCCTTCGATGTTATAAAAAAGTGTATTTACAGTGAAAGCGTTCGTCGTTTTGTATCTTTGTATATTTATGAAAGTCATTATTTATATTATATTTATTTTTCAGATTTTCAATCGTTGATGGGACAGTTACATACCAGTGTCGTTTTATACGCTCTAACACATTCAAAAGGAACCACGCAGCCGAACGTATTGTCGTTACAGAATTTGGAACAAAGGGCGTGCCGGATCCTTGCCACTCTATCTTTGATAGGTATGTTGTAGTACTTGTAGTAATTAGTCACCACCATAATTACAGCGTGTCAAAAATACTACTCTCCATCACAATACGGATGGTGCTGACTGCTGAACATGGGTCTCACCCAAATACTGCCATAAAGGGCCGTAGTCACTCTTGACAGGCAGGTCAGCATGCGCAGATATTTATTATTTAACCTGTTATCTATTATTGCAATAACTAGTCCTAATGGTCAAAATACTAATATTACTATATCTCGAGCCACTGACTCTAATTCCAAATGAAGCTAAAACTGAAACTTAAATTTTTAATTTTCTGTGCTGGTTGTGTAGAACACTGAATACTATAATTTACCTTAATCCTTTTTTCATTATAGAGTCGCTTCAATATTTAAACCGTTTGAGATGTCAGACAATACTATGATATCCTTGTATCCTTTTGGGGATGAAATGTACACATTTACTGAGGCACCATTTATGCATCGGTAAGTTAAAAAAAAAATATTCAAAATCTAACTTGCTAAACGCGTCATATGATTTGGTTAAGAAATTTTTGAAATAATTTTTAACTAATAACACAATAGCCATCACCAGACTACTCGTAGGTCTTGTTGTGAGCAGTTTGATATTGCTGTCTCAAATCTGCAGAACTCCTTGCAGATGTAGCATTCTACGTAAAGTCTTATAATTTTGGTAACCTTTGTTTAGTGTTTGACACTTTATATAATTTTAGGTTTTTATAATATACTAGCTGGCCAAGCAGACGTTGTTCTGCCCTCTCCGACGAAGCTTCCTATAAAAAAATCCTTAAATTCGTAATAAAAAATACTGAGGGTCAATTATAAGGATAAAAAGTATCCCATCTCTTAAGTTGGACCAAACTGCACACAGTGTGCAAAATTTCATTGAAATCAGTTCAGTAATTTAGGAGTTCATCTCGGACAAACAACGTGACATGTAATTTTTATATATAAAGATTATAATGGGTGGGCTCCTCATCTATTCTCAAATTAAATAATTTACTTATAATCAGTAGGCTTTTTTTTTTGTTCTTCTTTTCTTTCTTTATTCTTTATCAGCCCATATCAGTGTATTGCCGGAAATAGACCTGTCCCGTTATAAGGAGAATTTGATATGATCGCAACACTTGGCAATCGAATTGTAAATCACAGTACTAATCGTTCTGCTCTTTGACGCCACTCTCTGTCTGGGTAATTTACGTATGGTTTGTAAGGATGGTTATTTATTTATTTATACACTTTATTGTACTAAAGGTACAAACGGCGGACTTAAAGCTATATGGCATTTTCTACCAGCCAACCGGAAAGTTAGTAAGAGATGTGTGTAACTGCAGTGGGCTAGGATGAAAACCTAAAATTGATAAATTTCACACATACACATACATACACACATACATACATACACACATGCACATACACGTAGATCAAACTTATTTAAACATATATAAGTATGTAACAGATTATATGTTATAGATATATATGTGTCAGATGAGCCCAAGTAATGTTCCTTTATTTTTGTTTTAAAAATCCACTTGTTAGGGGATTTTATTATTGCTAATATATTAGAGCCGTATATTAGAGAACATGATATTTTTCTAGCTTATCTCAAAGGCCATTTAGGATACACGTAAAAGTAGTACAACAGTAAGCAAAGTTAATGTAATGAAAATTTGTGTTATCTTTAATTAAGAATTTTAATTGTAACAACCCTTTAGGATAGATCCGAAGACCCTCGATACTCTGGAGAGAAAAAATATGATGGAGTGCGTTGCCCTCATAAATCATACATCTCACCCACACGTCATGCCAAACGGTGAGTTAAATTTAGCATTATAGATTTTATGATCCCTTTTACAACTTCAAGTTTTAAATAATGTAAAGAAAATGCGAGGGACACCACTCGCTACATGGGGTACATTTGGCGCAAGGCGATTGTCAGCAATTGCATGTATGAAGGTGAAGATCAGCCTCGTACGTAGGGTGCACTGAAAGTTTCGCGTGACTCATTAATAAAACAATTTATATGTAAAATGTATTAAGTAATTTTTTTTAACTTATTATAAGTGGTAAGTGGTGATGCAGCCCTAGATGGTAAATCACACTGTCTTAGCGTAGCAAAAGCTTATTCACTCTTGTCTTGAAGACGCCCAGATTGTATTTGGACGGAAAGATAGACGCCGGCAAATTATTCCACTCCTTTGCTGTACGCATTACAAAAGACGAAGCAAACCCTTTGGTTCTAATGCATAATGGAATATCGACAACAAAGGGGTCAAGACTCGCCGACCGCCTGGTTGTCCGATGGTAGAAAGGAGAGAGAGGAATTAAAGCGTGTAATTCCTGCGCACACTCACTGAAAAGCATCCTATAGAATGCCGAGAGGCAGAGCTACTCTGAGCCTAGGTTTGAGGCGGACAAGATTGGTTTCAACCAAATCAAGGTCACCAATGAGCTTCTTAGCACGTCTCTCAACTGAGTGCAACGCTACCAGGTGGCATTTTGCAGCACCAGACCATATGCCACAGCAGCACTCAATGCATGACCGGACTTGCGCTTTATATAAGGTAAGAAGCTGCCACGGCGTAAAGTATCGCCGCACTCTTGCAAGGACACCAAGTTTCCTTGCGGCTGCCTTGGCTTTGGACTCAATGAACCGCCCATAGTTGAGGTTCGGACAAAATTCAACCCCTAACAACTGAAGACGGTCAGTGTATTCCAAGGATACATTCCGGAACGTAGGAGCCAAGGTGAGCGGGCTTCTTTTAGCGGTGAAAAGACACGTTTGTGTTTTGGAGGCGTTGAATACTCCACTCGATTCACGAGATTGGCATTGCCCCATTCGGAGACTGCCTGTAGTGTGAGACTCATACGCTCAACCATAGCCTCTCTTTCTGACTGGATTTGATCCCGACCGGCCCGGGAACTTTGTTGGTATCTCTCCACAACTGTGCTGTGGTCTGCATACCCATAGATACCGGGAATCGGGAAATTTTTAACAGTGGTAGAGCCACGCGGCAGCTTTTGCTGTCGCATGGATGGGCCGGCTCGAACCGGGGTAGTACCATGACCTCACAGAAAACCAGCGTGAAGTAGAAGTTTACCTCTGCGTTTCGCTTGGTGAGTGCAGGTGGCCGGAGGCCTTTTTTACTGGAAATGAGGCATTCCATCTTAGTCCTCACGGGTGACAACGCATCTACATTTTGATTTGTAACAGGGGATAGATGTAGATATCTATGGGCCGCAGCAACCACTTACCATCAGGTGAACTGTGTGCTCGTTTGTCACCCTTATCCTATAAAAAAAATCGCCAGATCATTTATATGCATCAAGGAGAGAGTTGCGGAGAGAAAGGACCCCTGAGCAACACCGGCGGTAGCCGCCACAGTATCGGATGAGCAACCATCCATGGAGACCCGGAGAGACCCTTCACTCAGAAAATCCTTCACACAGAGAATCAGGCCAGGGGATAAGCCGTACGCTGAAAGCTTGCCCAATAGACAAGCGTGCCAAACCCTGTCAAAGGCCTTCGAAACATCGAGGGAAACAGCAAGTGCTTCACCACTGTTCTCGTGAGCTTCGCCCCATATGTGAGTGGCATACGCTGGAAGGTTCCTAGTTGATCGATTTTGGCGAAACCCGAACTGGCGATCACTGAGGAGATCATTTTGCTCTAGGTATGCCATTAGGTGGGAATTCAATGTACGCCCCATAATCTTGCAGAGTATGGAGGTAATTGAAATTGGCCGATAGTTGGCAGAGTCGGTACGGCTACCTTTTTTAGGCACAGGCTGCACATTTGCTAGCTTACAAGATTTGGGCACTATTCCAGTCATTAAAAAGAGGTGGAACAAGCGTGTCAACACGGGAGGCAACTCAGGTGCACAGACTTTTAGAACTATAGCTGGTATACTATCAGGTCCACTAGCTTTGTTCACGTCTAGACTTCGCACGGTTTTAAGAATCTCCTGGTTGGTGATACGGACCTCTATCATAGAGGTACCGCAGTGAGGTAATTGAGATGGTACGCTGTTGCTACTGTTCAGACGCAATTTGCAAGCAAAAAGAGAAGGAAATAATCGCTTTTCCTTTGGCGCATGCGCCAGTAAGCCAACTGGTTTTACCCAGCAGAGGCAGTTTAGACCGACAGAAGTTTGTCTCGACCGCTTTAACGAGAGACCAAAAAGCTCTACTGCCAGATGGTTTGGAAAGTGGAGTATTCAAAGTGACGGAGACGCTTACAGTAGATGTCGTAGCGGACGTAAACACAGAATCCGGCGCGTTGATGGAAATTATGCTCCAATGTGTACCCAGGGTAGCCAAGGTACGCCGCATCGAGAGGAAATCTGATCTACGTCTCAGTAAAGAAGAGTAAGTGCTGCTTGTTAGTCTCAAGTTGGTAGTGGACTGCATTGAGATTACAGTGCAGGCCTTGGATGTTTGTGAGGTGCACTTTTATGGAGAGGGAGTACAACTGCTGTACAAACTTACTTTTCTTTTTCCTTTTTTTCATAAATGGTGGGAGCCTATTCAAGGTTGAGAGAATGGCAGTTGGACGAGGTATCACACATATTAGATCGGGAGATGGTGACAGAAAATAGTCTCCCATTTTCTCCTGCATGCCTTTTTAAGAATTGATAACTAACCCTAAAATATGAAAGATAGAGGGGTTACGAGCCCTTGCGCGCTTGCACGTCATAAAGAAAATGGTTTCTCTCTGTGTAAAGAATTTTAGTATTTTTCCGTGACATTATATTGCATGCCTTTGTAATATAACGTAGTTGGAACAAATTTAAGTTATAATAATTGATGGCATGAAATTCGCAACGGCCGACGGGGCTCAAAGGGTTACGTAGAAATGAAAAATAAAATAGAACATTTCCGTGTTTATAAATTGCATGCCGTTGTATAAAATTAGTTTTTTTTTTTATCTCAAAAATACTCTACGAAAATTGGCATGCACCCCTCGTATGACCAAGGGTGGAAAATATTAGGAAAATGTTGTGAAAATTCAATACAACTTTTCATTATTTCAAACTGCATGCCATTTGAACAATACTTAATTTTTATAATTTATTGACGTTAGCAAATTTGGCATGCACTACAGGAAGTTGTAAAGTAGTGGCATGCATGACGAAAATTGCAAAAAACGCTGTTATAATTTCCGTGACTTTATTTTGCATGCCATTCAATATTTCATTTAAAAACATTATTTTAAGTTGATAAAAAAATGGAATACATATTACTCAAGCCTGACATAAAAAACTTGTGTAAAACTAAAATCAAAAAAAGTTTTTTAACGAAAATAAAAATAAGGAACATTTCCATGTTTTTTTTGCATGCCTTTTTGTACATTGTCTATAAATATTATCTTAAACTTCAATAACAAATGGCATGCATGTTTATTGATAAAAAATACTTAAATAAACAAAAACACCGCTGCCAATACATTGGTATGTGGCTTTCTTCAAACTAAGTTATTGTTTCTATTATTAAGTACTCGGGTTTAATTTATTAAATAACTGAAATATTTTATATAGTATATTGTCAAAAAGTCACGTAAAATAAAAAATTGTTTTTTTGGTGATTTTGAAATGCTTGTAATTTTTTAGGAAACTTTCATTATTATCAAAAATACGATGGTGTTATTTAATACGCATGCCACTTTCGATATATACTTAAAATAATATGTTTTTATGAAATGCAAAACGGCATGCAAATTAAAAACACGGATATGTTTCATATATTTTATGAAAGTTTCATTATTATTTAAAATACGATCGTGTTATTTAATACCCATGTAAACATGCATGCCATTTGTTATTGAAGTTTAAGATAATATTTATAGACAATGTACAAAAAGGCATGCAAAAAAAACATGGAAATGTTCCTTATTTTTATTTTCGTTAAAAAACTTTTTTTATTTTAGTTTTACACAAGTTTTTTATGTCAGGCTTGTGCAATATGTATTCCATTTTTTTATCAACTTAAAATAATGTTTTTAAATGAAATATTGAATGGCATGCAAAATAAAGTCACGGAAATTATAACAGCGTTTTTTGCAATTTTCGTCATGCATGCCACTACTTTACAACTTCCTGTAGTGCATGCCAAATTTGCTAACGTCAATATATTATAAAAATTAAGTATTGTTCAAATGGCATGCAGTTTGAAATAACGAAAAGTTGTATTGAATTTTCACAACATTTTCCTAATATTTTCCACTCTTGGTCATACGAGGGTGCATGCCAATTTTCGTAGAGTATTTTTGAGATAAAAAAAAAACTAATTTTATACAACGGCATGCAATTTATAAACACGGAAATGTTCTATTTTATTTTTCATTTCTACGTAACCCTTTGAGCCCCGTCGGCCGTTGCGAATTTCATGCCATCAATTATTATAACTTAAATTTGTTCCAACTACGTTATATTACAAAGGCATGCAATATAATGTCACGGAAAAATACTAAAATTCTTTACACAGCGAGAAACCATTTTCTTTATGACGTGCAAGCGCGCAAGGGCTCGTAACCCCTCTATCTTTCATATTTTAGGGTTAGTTATCAATTCTTAAAAAGGCATGCAGGAGCAAATGGGAGACTATTTTCTGTCACCATTTCCCGATCTATATAACCTAGGGACGCAAGCAGAGTCATAGAATCAATGGTACCTAGCATGGAGATCGCGGGGACGCTCGAATCCCCCTGGAAATTGCCACCAGATTCTCTCCTCCGGTCACCAACCCGCATGGTGGAGCCATCCCAGGATTTTTCGTCAGATGGTGGGGCAGCCTGTCATGAGTAGTTGGCTCATTAATTGGACCCCCAACTATTTACGGTCGGCCAGCGGTGCAACCGTGCTTCGGATCCCGCAAACCTCCATAACCAGGCACCTGGCACTAAGAAACGGTCGCGTCGCAACCGGTTCGTATGCGCAACGCAAATATCCAGACCCATTCTCCCTAAGAAATGGGTTTCACCTAACATTATACCGGAACACAATTTGCATCATTTGGCGGTATGTCTTTGCCAGGTGGGTGGTAACTAACCCTCGGCCGGGCTTCTCACTAGTAGAGTACCAACCTACCACTAGTATGTAGTGCTGCTCGTTTAGCAATAACCAGGGAGTAGGTAATCAGGATTCAAGTAATTCATACGGACGCGAGCAGCTTCATCCCCCAAAAACATTAATTGTACACTGAGTGATACATAGTGAATAAAATTTAAATACCCTTTCAGGAGATGTTATCAACGTAGGCATGTCTATTGTAAAAGGCAGAATAAAGCATGTTGTTGTCAAATTTCCATACAAGGAAAAAGGTATGTTTTTAATTAAGTTTAATTTGTAATTGTGATGTACATAATGAGCTTACAAATAAGATGAGCATTCCTATTATCTTCATGAAGCATGTAAATGTTAATCCACAACATAATTCTAGTCTAATGAAAAAGTTTGAAGGTGAAGTTCCTAAAGGAACTCTACCCGCGACCGGTCATTGCTGCTGGTGATAAGAGGGCTGGTTCTATTCTCGCTCAAAGGCTAAATTTAGTCATTCAGCGAGGAAACGCAGCCAGCATTCTTGGCACGATATTACGGGGAGTAGGACTGTATGATACTCGTAATTAAGTTATTAGTTTATTACAGTTTAAAAAAAGTAGAATTTCACAACTGATATTCAATGTACCATTTAAAATAATATTAAATCTAAAATAATATTAGTATTAGCAATAATAATTGTATTATTTGTAGAATTGACCGTGTAGTGGGGGTGTAAGAATATTCACTCAGAATTTATCCCGTCCCGTGAATGTGATAATAGGCGACAGACTAAAACAGCAGATGGGCAGCAGCATCTTCCAAATAACATATCAAAATAGAAAAAAAATTCCCACCCACCTGCGATGTGTGGTAACTATGGCAAAATTCGTTCTATAAGGCAATCTATGGGGGAGAACTGTATTCAGTTGTGGACTTTCATAGGGCTAGTATAAATAAATTACACAAATTTAAATGCCGAAGTTAGTAGCATCTCGTGTAATTTTATTTTAATTTTAGGTGATATGTTCGAACGGGCACATGTAATTGGTAGCATGAAACCACGTTGGTCACTACATCCGGCGTATATGCATACTTTTGGTAAGTATTAAATATTGATACAAACGGTTCATGTAATAGATTAATTTCATTATTTTTTTCTAGTGTTGACTTTTTAAAATGTTATTGCTTCTTATACAACTAGTTTAAATGTAACTGATGATTTAAAAATTGGTGCATATAATTATCACTGGCATGTTAAGGTAACTGAGTTATGATTTTTATTTGCTTTAGTATTGTTGCGCGCCGCTATTAATGTCTTGTACATGGTAACACTAGTTACACTAGCGCCCTCTAGTGTCGAGTAGCAGAACTTGGAGAGTCAAGATCCTTCTAGAAATTTCGAGACCGATATGTAATCGGACATTCTAGATGTCGCTACAGTAGAAGGTTCTGGAAACTATCTAAGGCCCTATATAAGGCCGGTATAGACCACGACCAAGGCAGTATTGAATTGGCGATACAAGAGAATACTTTGAAGCGAAACAACTGCGAACTTAAGTAATCAGTAGTACAATTTTGTTTTATTATTAGTGTGGTTTTAGATTGTAATTATTGTTTATAATAATTAAAGTGTCAATTTTGGTAATTCAATCGGCAGTTTTTAATTATCTCGAACCCCAAGCTCGTAACAATTGGTTTCATAAGTGGGATCAAATCATGCCGATTTTACCAAAGAACGACATGGAGGGTATCCGTACCCAAAGTCAACGCCAGCTGGAGACGGACCAGAGACGATTTGGTAATGCAACGCCGCAAACGTCAGAGGGCCAGCTGCTGACCACGGAGGCCGGCCCGTCAGCAGCTCCTGCATCTGTAGCACCTGACTTAGGTGTTCTGATGATGATGCTGCAGGATTAGGCCCGTCGGTTGGAAGAGCAGCTGCAGCGCGGACAGGAGGAACAAGTGCGTCGGTTGGAAGAGCAGCTGCAGCGCGGACAGGAGGAACAGGCCCGTTGCTTGGAAAAGCAGCTCAAACGCGATAAGGAAGAGCAGATGCTCCTCATGAAGGACCTTCACGCTACGAGATAAACTAAACTACGAGATAAAGGAGGTGATGGATAGGGTTGCTCAACATGACAACCGCCTGTCGGAAGCTGAAACCCGAATCGACCAAGTGAACAAGCGGGTTGACAACGTGAGTGAGTTGACGTGAAGAAAACGCTGGACGACCTCAAAATTGGGGATGGAGTTACAGCTCCCGTGGTAGCTACAACACCTTCGCTACTTGGATTCAAAGTGCCACCGTTTGACGGGACTTCTTCCTGGTCGGCCTATAAAATCCAGTTCGAGGCTGTCATGAAAGCGAACGGCTGGAATAAAATTCAGGCCATGACTGCTCTCACCCTAGGCCTGCGCAACCAGGACTTAACTGTTCTGGAAGCTCTCGGTAAGGAAGTGACTTACGAGAAACTCCTTGAGGCATTGGAGGCGAGATATGGCGACACTCACCTGGAACACGTCTTTCGTGCGCAGCTCAAAGATCGCGTGCAACGCAGTAACGAAAACCTGCAGCAGTGGGCCCTTGAGGTGGAGAAGCTGGTTTGAAAAGCGTACCAGTCTGTACCTGCGCTCATTGTAGGGAACCTGATGCAGACATTCATCGATGGCATCCGCGATCTTGAAGTCAGAGCTGCTGTGAGGCTCGGGCACCACGAGACGCTTAAGGACGCCTTGACCCATGCACTGGAGGTGGAAGCCGTGCGGCAGAATCATCGTTCCCACCGCGTCAGGGAGGTTTGCAGCAGCTACAGTTCGGGACTGCAATAATGGCTACAGCCCTAGGTGCTACGGCTGTGGGGAAAGGAGCCATCTTCGATCCAGCTGCCCTAAGCGAACTGTAGAAAGGGAAGGTGATCGATCTCAAAAGGGTAGTGCGGCTAATAGCACCGCCCAGCAGCAGCAGGGAAACGAGTAAAAGCTAGGACAGCGGGGCGGGTGCTGGCTGATGTTAAAAGAGCCCCAAGGATTTCGATCTCACAAACCCATGATGGGAACAGCCTAATCATCAAGGGCGAAGTCAACGGAACGCCGTGTAAACTGACCATAGACACTGGAGCCTCTCGCACGGTTGTTAGTTCCCAACTTAGAAGTCAGTTCGTTGAGGACTCCGCATACAACCGCGAACGCATTAGATTGGTGACAGCCACTGGTCAGCGCATACCCGTCCGTGGAGAGAAGGAGATGGAGTTGAAGCTAGGCAACATGATCTACCTGCATAATGTCATCGTAGCTGATATAATGGACGACTGCATCCTGGGTCTAGACTTTATGAAGAAGAATTGTTGTGAGATCGACGTAAAGCAGGGTGTTTTGAAATGTGGACAAGAGGAACTTTTTGTGGAAGGGGCGTTACCAGGGAATGTGTACAGCCTTAAGAAGATTGTTCTTCCGCCGAGATCGGAAACGATTGTGCCGGTTAGTCTTCCTCGGAATCCCGGGCAAGCTCATCGTTGCGTACTCGTGGAAAGGGTAGAGAATGACCTTCCACGGAAAGTGGCTCGAACCTTGGTCAGAACCACCGACATCTCAGGAGTACGTGTGTTGAACCTTTGTGATCAGGAACAGATTATAGAAAAAGTAGGAATTAAAGAAACCACATAAGAGTGGTTTCTTTAATTCCTCTTTTACTGTGCAGTCCATACTGCTCTGGAATGCCTTGCCTGTTCATATCAAAAAAACCAGTAACAAACAATATTTTAAAAGACTTGTTCGAGAATTCTTTAACAGGAATAATACCACCTGATTTATCCGATTTTTGTTTTTCTCCCTCTTTCGCTTTGTAATTGATATTTTGTATAATATGTATTTTAATATGCATCATGTTATTTTATTTTTGTGTTATATTATTTTATATTTATTTAGAGATTTTGTATATATAAGTATATATTATCCGTTTATATATTTACTATTTTTTTTCTGTTTATTACAAAGTAGATAATATTAAGTTTGTATACTTTAAAAATATTTTATTTATTTGCTTTGTGTTATAAGATATAATGTTTTTACTTATTTATTAATTAATGAGTGGTGTTGCACCTACCACAGCTTCTGAAATCATCCAGAGTTGACTGGTAAATAATACCACAAGGCATTAAGTCCGCCCTTTATATCCCTTATTATAAGGTAGATGTAAAAAAGAATAAATAAATAAAAAAAGACACATTGGTTAGTATTAGTGAGGAAGTGGAATCAAGACGAAGAAGTTATTACTCAAGTACACCAATGTTTTCTCGTCAAACGAAGCTGACATAGGAAAGACTGGCTTAGTTCAACACAAAATAAACACAGGACAAGAATTGCCTATTCGTCAGCGGCCAAGAAGATTGCCTGTAGCACGTGAAAAGGAAGTGTAAACCATGATTGAGGGAATGGTGAAGGATGGTTTTATTGAACCTTCATCTAGTCCATGGTGTTCACCTTCAGCATGCGGTTTTGTGTTAACTACTGCCGCCTGAATGACGTTACGAAGAAGGACAGCTATCCCGTGCCTAGAATTGATGACACGCTGGACATGCTCACAGGCGTAAAGTGGTTTAGTACGCTGGACCTGAAAAGTCGCTACTGGCAGGTTGAAATTGACCCTAAGTACAAGGAGAAAACTGCATTCTCCACAGGAAAGGGTCTGTGGCAATTTAAAGTCGTGCAGTTTGGATTGTGCAATGTTCCAGCAACGTTTGAAAGGTTGATGGAGCTTGTACTTACCGGGCTAATTGGAGATGCCTGTCTGGTCTACTTAGATGACATCATCATCGTAGGCCGTACGTTTGAGGAACACCTTCAAAACCTGGAACGCGTGATCATGAAGATCCAGAGTGCCAATCTCAAGTTGAGTCCGAAGAAGTGCTCACTATTCAAACGGCAAGTTAGCTTTTTGGGGTATGTAGTGTCGAAAATCGAAGCGGGAAATCTCATGGCAATGCAGATGCATTGCCCTGAAGATTGCATGCATTGTACTAGACAAGAGGGTAAGAAGGGTAAGGTAAGGATGCTCAGGATAGACCAGCTCAGCAATGAGTGGAAGGACAGCCTACAACATGCACAGCAGGAAGATTCGGACATTAAGCCGATTCTGGAATGGATGAAGGCCAGTGCTCCTAAGCCCAAGTGGAGTGACGTCTCAGCAATGAGTTCGACCACGAAAAGCTATTTGGCCTAATGGGACAGCTTGCTGATTCAGGATGGAGTCCTGTGCCGTAAATGGGAAAATGGTCGGGGAGACAGATGTTATTTGCAAATGGTTGTCCCTAAGGCTAAAGTACCGGATGTTCTACAGTTGTACCATAGTGGTTGTTCAGGAGGCCACCTGGGAGTTAAACTAACTCTACTAATCCGAGAACGGTTTTACTGGGTCTACTGTCGTGACGATGTCGAGGACTGGTGCCGCAAATGTACAAGTTGTGCGGCTGTAAAGGGACCTCAAATTCGTAGTAGAGGCGCATTGAAATTGTACAATGTTGGTGCACCATGGGAGAGGATAGCCATTGACGTTGCGGGGCCATTTCCGGAAAGTGAAAGTGGTAACAAGTATTTCATGTGTATTCATGGATTACTTCACTAAGTGGCCAGAAGTCTTCGCCATTCCAAATCAAGAAGCTTCAACAGTTGCAGATAAACTAGTTCATGAAGTCTTCTGTCGTTTTGGAGAACCCTTAGAGATTTACAGCGATCAAGGAAGGAATTTTGAGTCTCAAATATTCCAGGAAACTTGCAGAGTTATGGGTACTCATAAAACACGAACAACTTCTGACACCAATTGTTACGAGCTTGGGGTTCCAGACAATTAAAAACTGCCGATTGAATTACCAAAATTGACACTTTAATTATTATAAACAATAATTACAATCTAAAACCACACTAATAATAAAACACAAGTGCACTACTGATCACTTAAGTTCGCAGTTGTTTCGCGAGAATACTTCGAAGGTATACTAACGTATTTGGACATAACAATCGACCACAAACTAACATGGAACTCTCACCATAGCAATGTATGTTATGAGACTAAAATTGCTTTAGGTACGTGCAATAATATGGTTGGGAACAATTGGGGCCTGCGTCCCAGTATAATAGTGAGGCCGATTCTTACCTGCGCCTCCATTGTCTGGTGTAATAACGCAAACCAAAGAACTACTGCGGACGGACTAAATAGTCTACAAGGGATTGCCCGTTTAAGGGCAACTGGAGGTATGCGATCATTGCCTGGAGCGGCTCTTAATGCACTTCTATGCCTAACGCCCATTGATTTCTATTTAGACAAGGAGGCAATGGCTAGTTTGTATAGGATCAACGCCCAGAGCGGTCTGAGCTTGGTTTCCTACAGATTGAGATCCATGCTCGACTCAAATAAGGAAACACCGGTCTTATGCTCGATCTTAGCTATCATGCGTCCACTATACACTTTTAATAAAAAGTACATAGTGGAACTACCCTCCAGAGAAGACTGGCTGAATGGACAGGTTATCAGTGAGGTCGGTAACCTTATTTGGTATACCAATGGGTCAATAATCGGCTTCAACGTAGGTTTTGCAATTCATGGGGAATGCCCCAAGTTCAAACTTAGTATAAATTTGGGTAGATTCGTCTCTATCTTCCAGGCAGAAATTTTTTTAAACTTCAGTGCGTGGAAATCTATCTGCAAAAACACTACGCCAACCATATTATCTATGTAAACTCCGATTGTCAAGCAGCACAGCTAGCACTGAGATCAAACTTAGTGAACTTGAAGCTAGTTGGAGACTGCGTTAACCGTCTAAACAGCCTGGGATGTAACAATAGGGTCGTTTTAAGGTGGGTTCCGGGTGAAGCGGGTATTGTTGACAAGCTTGTACAGGAGGGCTTAGAGAGTTCACAAAAAGGCCGCACTGATGCTGGTCTTTCTAGACCTGCATAGCTGCTCGCACAAATTAAAAAAAGTGTGGTGGCAGCTTCAGAGAATTCATCTCCCCATTTCGTCGCGTGGTTGTCGTAGGAGGCGACTATAAGATATGCCAAATATGTCCGATAGATGGCGGTATTACCATTTCGATTACGCTAGGTGTTAAACACTCAGACCGGTGACGTCAAAGAATGAAATATTTGGTACTGGATTCGTCAATCCGCCTGCCCAGCGTAACGAGTAGCCAGCAGTTGATTTTAACGACCTGATGATGATAAAAAATTATAACTATGTTAGAAACTGTAGCAAAAATAAAAAGTATGTACTACTGGCTGACACAACTCCATCTAATTTCTAATAGGGGTTTGGAACAGGGAAGAATTTGTGTATATCATATGCCATTGAAATAATTTTTGCATTTATAAGACAAATAGTTTGCCTCTGGTAGTGCGGTAAGTGGTAAAACAGATGATTGCAATTAACAACTTTATTGATATCACCATGTTGCAATCCGTACTATGAAACGTTAAAAGCTGAACTATTAGAAATGAGTTCAGTTATAAATAGTCACAAGATAATATTATTTCCGTAATAAAAATGAAACTAATAAAGTGTTGATTGATATATGACTTATTTATTTTCATAAGTTGCTTTAATATAATTGAACCATTGCTTCCCGGAAACAACAGGTAACAGAAGACTAAAACCTTGTTAAAATTTCTATTTATTTTAGTACAACTCAATGTGTGTAATTAAAAGTATGTCATTACTTCAGTAGTCAATACAATTAACAAAAGAGCGTAATATTAATATATATGTGTGTATACTTATATTATATATGTATATATATGACACATAAAAAAAATTCGCCTAGTAAATAATTTTTGAATAAAAATACCTTCATATTTTAGGTGTAACCGAAAATTACTATGTGATTATCGAGCAGCCTTTAACAGTATCAGTATGTGGCGCTGTTCGAAGCCAATTGGCAAATAGGCCTATTGCTGCTACTTTACAGTGGTATCCAGATTATGAGGTAATTTTTTAATAGACGTGTAAACAGTCCGTAGGGATAAAGAAAGGGATTAGAAATGGCGGCCCATCGAGCCCGTACCGTCAACATGCGCAGTACACCAAAAGCAAAAACCTGCTAATAACGGTATATATGTGGTTATAACGTTATATTATTCGGTTAATTGGAAATTTTCAATTAATGAGAAAATATTTGAAAATAATTGTATACGCATTAATTTTAATAATTAAGTATAAGCCAGAATGGGTAAATGTACCTAACACTAACCACAACTAACTAAAATTCTGGCTTCACCTGAGGGAGATCTAATTGACGACATAAGATAATCATTGAATACTATTTATTTTATTTTATCAATATATCTATTTAAATCAAATTTCTAAATTTCGCGAATAAAATTTAATTTAGATCACTCCTGGTTTATTTTTAATATTTGAATGTCAAGTTTTATTAAAATTAGTTCAGCCATTCCGAAGATTAGCTCGGACAGATAGACAAGCAAAAATTTTAAAAATGGTTACTCATTTAAATATTTTAAACAAATATTAACAAACAAAATCAACAACAATAATAAAGAAAACTGAGTTCGCGTCGTAGCTCACAGTTAACATTATAAAATGTTACACGTCTATTCGTGAACGCGCAGATCGATTTTATTTGTGTTTAAACTGACATGATGAGATGAGTGTGGCAGTCGATGGATGTAGGTGGCTCAGAACGGTGCTTTGTGGCATTCCTTGGAGGAGGCCTATCTTCAGCAGTGGACCTGTTGAGGGCTGTAATGATGTGATGATGATGATGATGATGGTGATGATGCTGATGATGTTAGTCTCACTTTGGACCGAAAACATCGCAAATCCGGACCGATTTTTTTGTAGTTTATGGCATTTTGTAATCATCAATCACAAGTATCAATCAATCATCAATGACAAGTAGGATTGAAGTAATAGAACGTACGAAAAACGCTTATCGCAATTTTTTTTTTTGCAGTCTTTACTGGTGGGTGTAAGTATAGATAGCAATAGTGTGCGAGCGAGAGGCGTATAATGGCGACGCCATTTTCAATCTCTTTCTGTCACTGCAGGGGTAGTACGTGGTGTTTTTTTTGTGTATTATTACATACGATACGAAAAATATGGGCAACGAGCTGGCTAGCAGTTAATCTGATGATAAATGATCTCTACGGCTTCCTCACACCCAACCCACAATTTAGATAGAGCGTAGTAGATGTACTCGTACTATGCCTTACCCGTTAAAAAGAATTAAGATTGTGAATGTAAAACTTACTCAGCTGGACTAAGAAGAAACATAAATATAATTTAATAGACGCTAATTAAGTTAGCATAACATACAAAGTAGTAGTCGGAGCTTCGGTGCGAATGGAGAAGGGTTGCTGTTCTAGTTAATGTCAAAGTTGAAGTTAAAATATTTATCAAAATCAAAACAGACCTTTTTGAAAGTCAAGAAAACTAGCTACGTTGTCGCTTCAACAAGTCTCTATTTGTAAGTCTCTCAAGCGCAAAAATCACACACATAGACTTTTTATGTGCCTATTTCATCAAATTAAGTACTATATACATAATAATCCTCTTTGAAACATTAGTTAAAACTTTTTTGTGGTTTTCAATAGCTAAACGCACTGGTATTGTAAAATAACTAAGATATTTTGTCCTTTTGCCTTGGTATCGGAGCTCTGGTATCAAGTTATGACCTTGTATTTTTTCCAGGTTTTACAAATCTTTAATACATTGCTTTTCAAGCTGCAGCAACTAAAAGCATATCATTTAAAAGAAATGTCCATTCACGTTGATCAGATAGATTCGTAAGGGCAAAATTGATAAATATATTTCTTGTCAGCATTGGTAATTCTATTCCTAATCACCAATCTGTGCAATTTAAACACCGATAAGCATAGTTTAGAAGAAAAATAAAAATAAAAAATAAAACGCTTATTTGAAGACAATTATTTATAAAGTAGTTATATTAAACTCAGTTAATGATTTTCAATTGTTGTTTCAGACAAATATAGTGCTAATTAGTAAACAAACTGGCAGGGAAGTGAAACGTTACCGCACCGAAACGCTGTTTTTCCTTCATACTATTAATACTTTCGAGCAGAACGGTAAATTGGTCGTCGATTTGTGTGCCTATAAGGACGCAAAAGCGTTGGATGCTATGTACGTTAAGGCAATAGAGGTAGGGTAAATATGATGAAATATAGAAAGTAATTAAATTGTTTTGATACTTTTTGTTTTTTTTGATGTGTTAGTTGTTACTACCACAATAGTATCTTCTCCTGTATCGTGGAGACAGCTTAGAACATAAATTGCACGAGAACAAACATCCAGACCCGGAAAAATTATTTGTAGGCCATAAAAATACTTGTTCCGTTCAGGATTCGAACCCGCAGCCCCCAGCGCAACAACTCATTGCTTAGCCACTGCACCACGGAGCCGTATATAACTAAATAGGTATTGAAATAGAAAATGGAATATCCTAGTTATGGTATATTAAATTTATAGAATATGAGTGACAAACGAACACACATTCCACCTGATGGTAATTAGATGTTGTGGTCCATAGACATTTACTCGATTAAGAGTCAAATTGCAGACGCGTTGTCACCCCTAAGGATTGAGACGAAAAACCTCGTTTCCAGTGGAAAGGGTCTATTTACGGTTATTTAGGTTCAATTGAATATTTTATTTGTGTAAATGATTTTATTTTTAGGGTTCCGTATCCAAAGGGTATCCAATGGGACCCTATTACAAAGCCTCCGCTGTCCGTCCGTCCTTCCGTCCGTCTGTCTGTCAGCGGGCTGTATCTAATAATCCGTAATAGGTAGACAGTTGAAATTTTCACAGAATGTGTATTTCTGTTGCCGCTATAACAACAAATAATAATAATTTAAAATTAAAAGGGGCTCCGCTACTAGAAACGTGTTTTACGATAGTACGGACTTCATGCCCGACTCACACTTCACCGGTTATTATTAAAAATCTCATGTCCATTATTTTTCAACCGACTTCAAAAAGGAGGGCTTTCAATTCGTCGGAATATTCGTTTTTTTATGCATGCTTACCGATTACTTGAAGATGCCTGAACCGATTTGGAAAATTCTTTTTTCGTTTAAAAGGGTATACTTCCCAGGTGGTCCCATTTAAATTTTATGGAAATCGGCCGAGCGGTTTTAAAAAAATCAAAATTTAATTATATTTATACTAAAGTCGGGTTAATTTTTTTTTAATTTTATCACTTGTTAAACAATGAGTATAGCTCAGTAGTACAATAAAAATCATTATTTTTAAACTTAAGCTTGTAATGCCATTTATTACATTCCACAGAATTAGTAAATCATTTATGGGGCAATGTATACGCTTTTACAATAGAATCCCAGAACATGTTCAAAGTTTGTCAATAAACAAGTTTAAAAGTTTTATTAAAGAAAAACTGTACAAAAAGGGTTATTATAATATCAAGGAATACATGAATGAAAATAACCCCTGGGAATAAGGTGATCGCCACCATGCTGGTTCTATGAAAATTCATTTAAAATTGTATAAACAAAATTATTGTTAAGTGAAATTATGTTTAAAAAAAAGTCCCGCTGGGTTTCTTGCTGGTTCTTCGTAGGACAGAGGTATTTTCCGAACCAGTGGTAAATAAAAATGACTTCAATAAGTATTATGTAATAATCAATATTTATTAAAATTCATTCTATTCTATTCTAACGATTTCGGCGGTGCCACAGTCTTCGTGACATTTGCATGGGGTATCCGTCTTACCCGTCTTATTACAAAAGTAAATTATAATTAGACTAGAGTCTATATGAAATATGCGAACTAAAGTCTTTAATCTGAAACTAAAATGTAAAGTGTGAATTTGATAGCAAATGTCAAATTTTCTACTATTGCAAGCACCCCGCCTAAATGACTTCTTTGGTGACAAATGTCCTTTTTAAGCAAGGATTATTAATAAGCCATGATATCTAATAACACTGATAAATATAAACATTTTTTTTATATTTTCGTATATTAAATTGTTCAAATTTATTACCTAAGTTTTAGAATATAATACGTATTGCTAGATGTTGATTTCATTTCCATTTTGTTTAAGACCATGCAAAGTAATGCGAATTACGCGGAATGGTTTCGTGGTAGACCTAAGCGTCTGGAAGTGTCCCTAGATGCGCCTTCTATGAGCATTATAAAACCACAACTGCTGGCCGATCTGGGTTGCGAAACGCCAAGAATACACTATGACGCGTGTAATGGTATGGATATTTGACTATTTATTGTTCGTCGTTTGTCAAATTTGACCAGGTTACTATTTTTAAACTTTTATGAAGTACGAAAAAGGATCACAACAAAATAATGATAAGTCACAAGCTTAATTTAAATGTAAATATAATTTTTTATACAACTAAGTAACAGAAACTAGTTAATAAAACATAATAAGTTAGTAAGTTAGTAATTAAAAAAAGTATCTTAATGATTTATATAGGTATACGACACATGAAGTGTGAGTACAATCAATCTATTCTAGTTCCTTTAGAGAATGAAAAAAACAGCCGAAACCACCATTTACTTTGTCCAAAATACGAATGATATCAGACATGTGTAGATTAAGGGCAAAGGTTTGCACGTACACATTTGGTATATAATATCTCCCACTTAGGTAATCATCATCATCATTGGCAGCCTGTAAAAGTCCACTGCTAGACACGGGTCTTTCGTTTTGTAGAGAGGATTTGCCTTAATCATCATATTTGTCAGGCGGATGGACTATTGCAGTACCTTTTTTTGCGCTGATGCCCGTCGCCGCGCCGGTATAGTTATAAAGCCATCTGTCGGAAGGAATAAGATCTAAACTCCATAGGTAGTCGCCTCTTAAAATACTCACAGGATGAAATGGGGTGATGTATTCTCTTAGACCGCCACGTCATCACGCAGCAAACTTGAGGCCGTATTTGTAAGTTAAAGCGGGGTTTTTTGAGCTGTTATGATGATGTAAAATAATTGAGTTGTTTAAAAAAGAAGCATGAAAATTTCATGAAAAATCATAGCGAAATGTTTAAAGAGCAATTTTTCAAGTTTAACGGTCTTGAAATGAATTTTTACGTGGTAGAGCCTTACAGCTATATTAACAGTTTAATTGTAGCACAAATGGGTCGTGGATGGAGTGAATGGAGCGTGGTCGGCTCGCCCGGGGAAGGCCCCGGGCGAGCCGACCACGCTCTCACAGAATACCAGCGTAAAATAGCAGCTTACTGTTGCTGTGTTTCGTATCGTGAGTGTAGAGAACTGGAGACCCTTTTTACTGGAAAAGAGGCATTCTATCTTAGTACCAATACACAATGTACAATTTGCAAATGTCAAATAATAATTATAACCTATATATATATATATATATATATATACCTATAAATATTCAATTTAAAAAAAACCGAGACCAATAACAATATTTTTGTTATTTAGTCAATGTAACTTAAAGGATTTGTTTTCAACAGGATGTCCATATAGATATTTTTACGCAATCAGTTCAGACGTAGATGCGGAAAATCCCGGATCTGTAAGTTGATATTACGTTATTGTTTAAACTATTACTCGATATCGCCAGGAAGAGAAGAGTTGTTGTTTCAGTGTATGTTTGTACGGATCTTGAATTCTGTCATTTAAAACATCTTCGACTACGAAATGTCATAGGCAGCATTGTGCGCCATATTGCTTCCAGTATAATACAAATATAACACTGGAAGCAAAATAGCGATTGCTTTAAGCAATTTTTAGTATTGTGATGTTTATGCTGTTACCCAGGAGGCTTTTACAACTTTTTTTGATCTCGATTTTATTGTCAATTTATTAGTTGAAAATAGGTTACTGTACAAGTTATTTTATTAGATGAAAACAGATTACTGTAAAGTCATTTAATTTTCTTATAATAAATTATATGCTTAGAGTTTAGACTAGAGTCATTGTAAAGCTAAATACACTTATTCCAGATAATTAAAGTGGACACGTGGACTGGAAAGACAAAAACATGGTTTGACTATGACTGCTATCCAAGCGAGCCGGTTTTTGTTCCAGAACCAGATTGTAAGGCAAGCTTAGATACCTACTTTGTGTTTTTTCAAACAAATACAATTTTTATATTTGTTTATTTTTAATTTATATTATACAATGATGACGCCTCGTCCGATATGACATATATGATTTGATTGAACACGGCTTTAAAGAAAAAAAATTAATATAATTTTTGAACACTAATATATTAGGGAAATTGCGGTACATCTTCTCGTCAGACAGACCTCAAAACCTGAAAACGAGATTGTACAACCAGTGCATGTTGCCAGTGATGACTTATGGGCATATAAGGACGCTCGAGGTCGCTCAGCGAGCTATGGAGAGGGCTCGGCGTTTCTCTGCGTGATAAACTTAGAAATGAGGATATCCGCAGTAGAACCAGAGTAACCGACATATCCCAACGGCAAGCTGAAGTGGCAATGGGCCGGCCATATAGCGCGAGGAACCGACAACCGATGGGGAAAAAAGGTTCTTGAGTGGCAGCTTCGTACCGGTAGGTGATGTGTAGGGTGACGCCTCACTAGATGGAGTGACGGCCCGGTATGACATACGGGGGGTCGATTGGTACATGTGGCTCGGGACCGTGTTTTGTGGCATTCCTTGGGGGAGGCCAATCTTCAGCAGTGGACTTGTGAAGTGCTGTAATGATAATGATGATGATGATGAAGAATATACTAGTGACAGCACTAATCTGCCTTCGTCATTATGACTTTTCGTGTCAACGTATTACGTCATAATTTCCGTTCGCTTTGAATAAAATGGGTAATATTAGGAAAAAACGTAGTTATTTGAAGAAAATGTTATTGGAGTTACTCGATTTTTCGTCGAAAGTTATATTAATGTGATTTTTACATATAGTACATAGTGTGCTAATTTTGTTTTATGATAAGACGGGCACTTAATTAAAATATAATCTCAAAACTATTTTCCTTTGCGATATTACGAGCGAATATACGAGGAAATTTGACCTTGTGATATGAGGAGCGACTATACATATGGTTAAAATGTCTTATGACATCGCTCAAATTCTGCAATTACCTTAACCATAAAACGAGCGCCTATATATATATATATATATATATATATATATATATATATATATATATATATATATAGTAAAGAGACATGTTAATCATATATATATATATATATATATATATATATATATATATATGATTAACATGTCTCTTGACATTGCGCAAATTCTGCAATAACCATAGCAATAGGACGTGCGTCTATACATATGGTCGACATGTCACTTGACAATGTGAAAATTCTGACAGATTAGGTACTCATTACCATTCATGTACCCCATACTCGTAACTAGGTACATTTTCTGACTGATATTATTACTCATACGTTGCTACGAGCGAGTACATTGCTTTGGAGAAAATAGGACATGTACTCGTACAACACAGTGACAATATGTTTACACTACATGCTGATATAAAAGCCATTTGGGAGGATGTACTGAAACAAGAGTTGGGGACATCTAGGAGTTAATTATTAAAAATATTCATAAAATAAAAGATTGCCTTACATCTGCTCCTATATTTAATCCAGAAATAATTGTGAAATTGTCTATAACAACTGGTAAGAGAGATGAACATCTGTGTGAGAAGCAAACGCAGATATAGGTGCAGCTATCTGTGGACTAAGTAAACGATTACAAAATATGTTAAACGATAAAGATAGACATGATGATACCACAATTGAAAAACTTTCAAATTATATTCGTTATCGAATATCTAGTTAAAAAAAATTGGTGTTTCACCCAAAATTTCCAAGTACTACAAGAGGCACAGGAAATATATTTAATAATTTAAAAAGTTTACCTGTCATTTATTTCTCTAAATAATAATCTCTAGTACAGAGATGTCTAGAATACTATCCTGTGTAAATAACTTATTAGAAGGTGGTGCAGTAACTGGATGTACCTTGTAAAGATCCATATTTATTTTATCTAAGATTTTTACTGTCCCCAAACATAATGGAACTTTTAGATTTATTCTGAATTAAAATAAATTCAATAATTTTGTTCAGAACATTTATTTCAAAATGGGTGACATTAGAACTGAAATTAGATTAATTAACACTAACTATTATATGGGTTCAATTGATATAAAAGATGAATACTTTTTAGTTAGCATATAGTATAAGAAGTCCCGTAAATAGGTTTATCCTTGAGAATAAATTATATTATTTTAATTTCTTACCATTTGGACTTTCATTTGCGCCATAAATTATTACTAAATTCATGAGGCGAATCACTACTTAACTGAGATCTCGAGGTGTCATATTAGTGAATTGTTTAGATGATGATTTAATTATTGCGCCGACACAAGAAAAATCGTAGAAAAAGGCCTCTTGCTCTTTTAAATTGCAATGATAACTATGAAGCAGAAATGAAAATAACTAACGAAATTATTGAAGAATTATTTTTATTGGAAGAACACTATACCACGCTGTCCCTATTAGGCGTGAGCATTAAAAGCTTGAGTTATTTTCTGATACTTCGAAAACTGGTTGGGGAATTGTATGTGGCCAACAAAATTTTCGTGGTTTCTGGACTGAGGAGGAAAGTAGATTTTACATTAATTAACGAGAATTACTTGCTGTTTACTATGCCTTAAAATGTTTTGCAAAAGATGAATGTAACTGTGAAAATCTCATACGCACAGATAACAAAACAACAGTTGTTTGTTACATTAGCCGTATGGTCGATATACAATTTACCCACCTAAATAGTCTTATTAGGAAAATATGGCAATTTTGTGAAAGAAAAAATATTTATATATTTACATCATACATACCTTCTACATACATACCTTCTAATGAAATACAGAAGCTGATAAGCAGTCTTAAATAGTTAATATAGAGACTGAATGGGAGCTAGCACTACATGCATATCACAATATTATCTCAAGTCTCGGTTCTCTTTTTGATTCTTTTTTAAAAAACGTTACCCGTACACTAGAATTTTATCCTGTATCGTGGAGGCAGTTTACAAACACAAATTGCACAAGGACAAACATCCAGACCTGGAAAAATTATTTTTAGGCCATACAAATACTTGTTCCGTGCGGGATTCCAAGCCGCGGCCCCCAGCGCAGCAACTCATTGTTAAGCTACTGCGCCACGGAGCCGTCTATCGGTGTTCCCAATATTAACTCATTTGCGACTAAAGCACAAAGTGCAAACATTTTATCTCCTTGCATTCTAAGCATGCTGGCAAGCTATTGGTCAGTAATTGATGCCTTTAAAATCTCCTGGAAAGACCTAAAATTTTATGCATTTCGACCGTTTGCCTTAGTTCTGACATGCAAAGTCTACTTTAAATAATGAAAAATTTTGTACAGCCGACTTCAATATAAGTTATTAAGAATAACTCATAAACTATTGGTCTGACCTTGATTTATATGGAACCACACGAGAAGTACCAGCTTTCAAATAAAAAAAGAATCATCGAAATCGGTTCACCCAGTAAAAAGTTATGAGGTAACACACATAAAAAACATACAGTCGAATTGAGTACCGTCTCCTTCTTGGAAGTCGGCAGAAAAGGCTGTACTCCAGGCAGTGTATCAATTATTTCAAAATTACTGTCTTAAATATTATGAAAAAGTATAATTCATGTTATAAACAATTGTGGAAGTTCCGTAAACACAATAATTTTATCCTGTATATTTTTGTATTTCACATAAACTACAATTTTTAACTGAAAAATACCATAATGGTGCTGTCTATGGTATATTGAACAGTGCATGATCAGCTTCATCTCTCTTTTTAGATAATGAATTAGGAATGAGTAAGGACATTGGTAGATTTTTAAGGGTGTTTATAGGTCAAGGTTAAATCAAACTGAGTATAATAAAGAGTCAAATAAAAACTTTGGAATCAAGTGTAATATGTAAAAAAAAAATATCTTCAAATGTAGAATTAAATTTGCAAGTTATTTCTAAGAAAGTATTGATTTTATTAACTTTGATTACTGCCTAAAGTTAGAAGCCTTCTCTTTAATAACAATTGATAATACTAGTTTAAATGATTCTGGTATTAAGATTAAGGTATAAATTTTATTTTATTAACCTCTAAAACTAACAGACTTCATACAACATAATTTGCAAGTTATTGTAGAACTAAATTTGCAAGCTATTTCTAAGAAACTATTGATTTTATTGGTTACTGCCCAAAAGTTAGAAACCTTCTATTTAATAACAATTGATAATATTAGTGTAAATTATTCTGGTATTGAGATTAAGGTTTAAATTTTATTTTAATAACCTCTAAAATTAACAGAATTCAGCATGTGCTAAACTTACGTTTTTTTAAATAAGGGAAAGTGTATGTCCAAGAAAAAACATTAAATGATTATCTTACTGTTACATAACCTCTACGTACAGACAACAATAGCCTTTTTTATAACATGTAAAAAACCACATTCACCGGACTCTTAACAACACACTCAGTAGATAGGTAAAGGACATCTTATCTGGGGCTAATATTGACACCGAAATATTTAGTTCCTATAGCACTCGTCATGCTGCCACTTCATTTGCAAATAGGAAGGATCTCTTAGGACTGCTGGTTGAAAACAAAAATCAAACAACTTTGCAAAATTTTATAACATCCCTCTACATGCGGAAAGTAGCTTTAGTAATTGTATGTTAAAGTCTTAAAAAAAGGATATTTATTAAACTTAAGGAATTCTGTTACTTTTCAAGTTAACCATATTTTCATTATTTCATTATGTCCACTTTCAATATCTACACAGTCATATCAGATGAGGCGTTAATGAGTGTAATAGAATAACGTCATGTATGTATATATATATGTATAATAGCGTTAACATTGTATAATAGTGATCGCATTTCACTTACAGGTAAGTTACTTTGATCATTCTATTATATATTAAATTTTACTTAACGTCAACCAGATTATGACAGACAGTAGATTGTGGTCTGACAATCAACTCAGGGTGTTAAAGAAATGTGATAATATAATTAAAGATGGAAAAGCGCAAATGACTTAGTTTTACATAAAGCCTATTCACACTTGCCTTGAAGATATTCACATTCTGATCAAATGGGAAGAGAGACCCTGGCAAATTATTCCACTTCTGTGCTGTACCAATTGCTAAGGACGAAGCAAACCGCTTAGTTTGAATGCGTGTCTTGTCGACAACAATGTAGTAGGGACTAAGTGAGTGAGTTATCCGATGGTGAAATCCCAACCAATAAGTCTCTTAACAAGCCTTTCCACTTAGACCAAAGTATATTATATATAAATCTAGTTTTAAAGTAGGCTATGTAGCATTATAAACAAGAGTACATAATACCACATGAAAGCATACTTTTGTTCTACTGATATTGTATGATATCAAATAAAATTTGCATCAGTGATCTGTGATTTTTTATGATAATACATAACAATGAAAGAATGTTTCAGGAGGAGGACGCAGGAGTATTATTGAGCGCATTGGTTTGGGGCTCGCGCGAGTGCTGTGTGGGTCTTCTGGTGCTGGACGCGCGTTCAATGCAAGAGTTAGCACGTGCGGTTTTTGATACACCGTCTCCAACACCCAAGTGTCTTCATGGCTGGTTTCTACCTGAACGCACTTAAAAGCAGCAATAGACGTAACATGACGTACACAGATAATTTAATATCTACTGTAAAATTATCAAGATTTTACTAAAATATTTCTTTAAAATATATTTTAATTCAATTTATAATTATTGATATAAATTGGAAAGAAACATTTAATTTATAATTTTAAAATAAACTGAATTGAAAGACTACTTATTAATTTGCCGCAAACGACCGTCTTGACCAAAAAAAAATCTATTACTCTCTACAGAGAGGCTACTGACTCTTGACTTACCTGTATCCGTCGACTTGCTACGTGTTTCAAAACTGTCACCTTCATCATCATTATAGCCCTTAACAAGTTCATTGCTGAACATGGGCCTCCGTCACAAGAATTGCCACAAAGCACGATCCTTAGCTACCTGCATCCATAGATTAATGATAAGTCATTGCGCGCTCTGACTAGACACCGCCGGCGCTCATGTAAAATGCGCAACAAATACTACGCTGAAATCGGCGTACCCCAGCCAGTCGCGTTGCAGGCAACGTGTGAGGTGAACGTACCGAATGTTTTATTAAATTTTGATCATAAACCGAAGTAAAATACCAGTTTACGTATTGAAACTGTGTAAAAATAATACTACAAGAAATAAGAAAGACACTGGAATCACGTACTATCATTAAGTATCATACAATTTCGAAATTTTAAAATGAAATAACACGAGCCATAAATAATTCACAAAATATCAATGACGCTATTCAGTGTTGCCGCGAATGCAAAAATAAAGCTCCCCGTGGCTGAGATTTTTATATGTGAATTTATTGTTACCATATTTAATAATTCAATATATTAAACTTTTTATAATATAACCTAATTCTATATTATTTAATGTTTATTTCTGTAGTATTGCTCAAATGATATAATTGCCATTTATTAGGGTTCCGTACCCAAAGAGTATCAACGGGACGCAAGTCTCCACTATCGTTCCGTCTGTATGTCAATAGGCTGTATCTTATGAACCGTAATATGTAGATACTTGAAATTTTCATAGAATATGTATTTATATTGCTGCTATAACAACATAAAATAAAAAAGAAAACAAATAATATATTAAAGGATCCAAAAATTCACGTTTCTTGTAAGAAACGTGATTTTTTCTGTATGTGATATGTGTTTTGTTTACAGACTAAAGCTAAACCTGGATTAACACGAAATAAAATGATGCTGTGTGTATTGTGGTATTGAAAGTTTATCATGAGCTTTTACCGTCGGGTAAAACCATCGATTGGGATCTCTACTATCAATAAATAATGAGACAAGCAAGAAATAGAAAAAGAAACCTTTGGCATTGATAATAATAAAGAAAAGGAGTGGACTTTCATCATGATAACGCCAGATCACAAGATTAGTTATCTATTTGAGACTTTCAATACAAACTAACATTCCTAAAAATCCAGTATTTGCTTGAGTACTTAAAACTGGTTTAAAAGTTTTAGTCATTATTTTCTTTTGTTGCTTGTGTTCTTGAAAAGAAAGTTTTCTGGAGGTTTTAATATTTAAGTTTATAATTTTTTTTCCATTATAAATGGGATGACTAAATCCATGTTTCCATCTCTGGTATTGAATATATCAAATAAAACTACTTGTCGCATTTTTTTAATCAAAATCCCAAGATTTCTACAGCAACGTTTATTTTTTATTATTTCACTACCTACAAGATGGTAACAAATTATCGAACAGAATGGACCCATATATATTATAATGAAATGTAATAAAACTTTAAAACAAAAACGTCTTGAATTTGTATACAATATACGAAGAAACTTTTTCCCCAGTCTTATATACTAACTAAAGGTGTAACAAAATAGTACTTAATAACTTAGGGAATGATTCTGCCCGTCAACGTGAATATTTTTTATTATGGGATCATCTTCGAAATTTTCAATTTATACGTGATAGACCCATACTGCAGCTATATTACTGGTATAGTTGTAGCACGAATGGGTCAGCTCGACCGGGGACGGACCACGCTCTCACAGAATACCAGTGTAAAATAGGTAGAGAGTAAGTGATAGAGTGTAGAGAACCAGAGACCCTTTTTACTGGAAACGAGGCATTCCATCTTAGTCCTCAGAGGTTGCAACGCATCTGCATTTTGATTCTTAACCGAGGATAGATGTATATGTCTATGGGCCACAGCAATCACTTACAATCAGGTGGACTGAGTGCTCGTTTGTCACCCTGATCCTATAAAAAATATCTCAAAGTCAAAATGAATGGAATGTATGTATGTAATGAAAAAAAATGTATGGAAGACCTGAAAATCTTGCGATTAGGAAGATAGATCTATAGTAAAAGTTGTTCATATTGACGCGTAGAATAGAAAGCCCTATTTTGATTACACCACATAAAAAAATAGTTTATATATATATATATATATATATATATATATATATATATATATATATATATAAACTATTTTTTTTAAATAATTTGGGAATATTAGTTAGACATGTAAATAAAAAAATGAAACTGATAAAAAGGAGGCCTTATCATTTATATGTCATTTATTCAGAAGAAAAACCTATATATAATATACACAAATATATTGATACATTCGTTATTAATAAACTATTAATTTTTAAGTATTTCTGGAATACATTCATAACTATGAACTTATCGACTAAGCCATAGCATAAAATAAATTTTCCCATTAATCGGGTAATAGTTAAGCTGCTGGCATATACAATTTTTCACGCACACTAGTATCATGGAAATTATCTTATACACACTACAATATTAAGATGCCGCACTCACGGAGCTGTTACTTGCAGGGAGCGCGGTATCTAGTCAGAGCGCGCGATGATTTATCATTAATCTATGCCTGCATCTATCAAGTTCCTGCATATCTTACCTTGTCGTCAGTTCATCTGACACTCCATCCAAAAATGTGTTTCTGAGTAAAATATTATATTTAAGAGAATAAAAATTATAGTCGATTTGTTTATTGACGGTGGTAATGGTTACCGATAATTATAACATCAGAGAGCTATCTCTGTAATCAATTGTAATTACATTATTATTTAATCATGAAATTTGACAATATAGGAAGCTATATTATTAAATTTCATGCTTAAATTAATTAAAATTAATACGTAGGCAGGTATTTACAATGATAGAGGATTTTGAAAAATTCGAACCCTCAGAGGGTGAAATAAGGTATTATAGTTTATAGGACACTTTTCCTTTTACGAAGCGATTGGTTCAAAACTTAACCCTTTCGCTGTCCCGTGCACTACATATAGGTCATTGCTATTGTCTTACTATTGTGTCTGGAAACCGGACAGTGAAAGTGTTAACACTTTCACTGTCCGGTATAAGTACTTTGTTGATAAAATAAATGAATTCGTAGTTTTTGATTTTTAAAAATAACACATTATTTCTTTTAAGTTACCTAGACAACCACGCAACTGATTTTGATTTGATTTTCACTGTCATTTAGAGATATTTTTACAGAAGATTAGGATGTACAATACATTCTAATAAAGTTATAGATACTAGAGAAAATTCAATATTTTGTAATTAAGTCATCAAAAAGTCGATATTCGGGCGTTTACTTCGTTGGCTAAACCTTAAGAGATATATCAAAATAATGAACTAAGGAATTGTAGTTTTTCAAAAAGTCTAGAGCAAAAGTCCGCGCTAGCATATGTTTATCTACTAAGTTAGACTTACGGTGACCATTTTTATTTTTGAAATATTAATTAAAATATTTGGTTACTAGCTGGCCCGGCAGAAGTTATTCTGCCCTTGCTGGTTGGTGGTGCGATGAGTTTTATTTTCACACACACACACACACAATAAACACGCGCGCGCACACGCACACGCACGCAAGCACGCACGCAGACGCGCACACACACACCCACACGCACGCACACACGCAAGCACGCACGCACGCACGCCCGCACGCACACACGCACGGACGTACACACACCTTGACTCATCTGATCATCAGCGTACAAAAGACATTTGACGGTTAACTCACCCATTCTCAACCCACATTCTTCAACTTTCAAAGTTTGCAAACAACTGTCCATAAATAGGTTAAACAGTCACTGAGAAGCTACACAGCCCTGTCTGACACCTTTTTGAATGCCAAAACAGTCCGAGTAGACCCCGTTGATCCTGACACAAGCACTAGAGTCCATATAAAGAGACTTTAATGCCTGTATCAAACCAGCACTCAATCCAAATGAGTTCAGTGTTTGCCATAACACATTCCTGTCCACTCTGTCATAGGCCTTTTCCAAGTCCATGAACGCACAAAAAACTTTCTGGTTTTTGGCCAAAAACTTCTCCGCTATCATGCGCATGGAAAAGACTTAATCCGTACACCCCACCCCCTTTCTAAATTCAGCTTGCACATCCCAAATTTTCCATCAGTTTCTTCCATAACTCTTTTAATTAACACCTTAGCATACAGTTTACCCACAATACTAAGCCAGCTGATACCACGGTAGTTTTTACAGTCCTGCTGTGATCCCTTTCCCTTATATATTGGTACTATAACGGCTTTGCACCAGTCTTCCGGTACCCGCTTCAGTTCCCAACATAAATTAAACAAGGTGTACAGCAGGCCTGCAACCACACCCCCTCCAGACCTTAGCATTTCGAGTGATACTCTATCATATCCGGCTGCCTTACCTGCTTTCATGCTTTTAATTGCTTTCATTATTTCATCTGCACTTATCTCCCTACCTCTCTCCACTTCTTTTGGAATTTCTATTTCACTTAATTCAGACGACTCTTCACTCTTAAACATGCTTTCAAAGTATTCCTCCCATCTCTTTAAGTTCGAAACTTCATCATTCAGCATGCAAGCATTTCGTCACGTATATCATTCATTCTAGGCTGTTTTTAATTTCCCCTGGTAGTTCTTACGAGTTTCCAGAACATTTTAATATTTGCCTGCAAATTATCAGATATCCATTTATCATTCTTATCCATCCTTTCTTGCTTTTTTCTTTCAACAACT